TGAGGCGGGGAACGTTGGAGTCTGCAGCAAGCAAGCCTCGTGCTCGCTTCAGTGCCTGGCTGCCGGCCGCCATCTTGGCTGACAGTTAATTTGCATATACTCACTGATTAGCCAATGAAAAGGGTAGCGGTCGTACGCTAATTACCATGTTTCTCTTTTATTAGTGTAGATAATATTAGTCAAGTAGAAAACCGAATAAAACTACAATGCAGAAGTGATTCTGCAATCACTTTGTGATTTTGATCATATGGTTTTACTTTTTTGGTTTGTTACTTAATTTAGGTGTTAGACTAAATGATCTCAAAGTGCCTTTCAAGTCTAAGATCTTAAGACTATGATTATCAGCAGTATCCTGGATAACAGAAAATCTGAAGGTCTCTTAGGGTCATGCAAAATAGTACCATAAATACTTGAAACAGCTGGACTGAAGTAAATTGTCAGGCTACTTAATTGTCCAGATTATATTTAAAATCTAATTTTTTAGGTTATATATTCTCTCATCTAAAAAGGATAAGAAAAAAAATTCTGCTAGGTATCAGTAAAATATAACTCTCTTCTTTAAATCTGATTTTGAGAGAAGTATTTTATGATGTTATTCTTCCTGAATTGTCAGAAATACATGCACTTCACTCATATGAACACATACAACGTTCTCTCTGAAGAGGAAGGTCTTTCTTATCAAGCAACAGCACTGGTTTTTGCCTCTGTGAGGTAGAAAGCAAACAGCAACTTTTGTTCACATCAGCTAGAAATAATACAGAATCCTCAAGATAAATACAAACAGGACAAAATTTATGGCACTTTAAACAACAATAAAAAGTTGAGCAGTAACAGCTCATTCTTGCTCTACTTTCAAGGCCCTTTTCTCTATTCAAGGCCTCAAAATGCACAGCAAAGTATGCAGAGGAAATTTCTGTATATCCCAGTCAAAATTGTAGAAAAGGGAAAACTTTGCATGTAAATATGTTATGACTAAATTGCCTTGAATACACCAACTAGATATCTCTCAATTGTAAAGTAGTGATAATAATCGTACCATTATTATTAGTTTAACTTTACTGAATTTATTGGGGTGAGACTGGTTAATGAAATTATATAGATTTCAGGTGTACAGTTCTATAATACATCATCTGTATATTGTGTTGTGTGTTCACCACTCCAAGTTGAGTCTCCTTCTATCACCATTTATCCATTTATTCCCCTTTTACCCTCTTCAACATCCCCCCACCTTACTTTCCCCTCTGGTAAGCACAATATTGTCTGTGTCTATGAGTTTTTGTTTGTTTTTTTGTTTAATCCCTTCACCTTTTTCACCTAGCCCCCCAATCACCCTCCCCTCTGACAGCTATCAGTCTGTTTTCTGTATCTATGAGTCTGTTTCTATTTTGTTTGTTTTGTTCATTAGAGTCTACATAGTGAAATCATATGGTGTTTGTCTTTATGGCTTATTTCACTTAGCATAATACTTTCCAGGTCCATCCATGCTGTTGCAAAAGGGAAAATTTCCTCCTTTTCTACAGCCAAGTAGTACTCTATTGTGTAAATGTACCACAGCTTTTTTTATCCACTTATCTATTAATGGGCACTTGGGCTGTTTCTGGATCTTGGCTACTGTAATTAATGCTGAAATGAACATAGGGGTGCATATATTCTTTTGAAATAGATATGCTTCCAGTTTCTTCAGATATATTCCTAGAAGTGGAATTGCTGGGTCATAAGACAGTTCCATTTTTAACTTTCTGAGGAATCTCCGTACTATTTTCCACAATGGCTGCACCTATCTGCATTTCAACCAACAGTGCATGAGGGTTCCCTCTTCTTCCCATCCTTGCCAGCATTGTTTGTTGCTTTATTGATGACTAGAGGCTCAATGCACAACGTTCGTGCACTTGGGGAGTCCCTCAGCCCAGTCTGCGCCCTCTCACAGTCTGGGAGCCCTCGGGGGACGTACAACTGCGGGCTTAGGCCCGCTCCCCTTGGACATCCTGAGTGCTGCCACGGAGGCGGGGAGGCTCCCACCACCGCTACTGCGCTTGCCAGCCGTGAGCCTGACTTCTGGCTGAGCAGCACTCCCCCTATGGGAGCACACTGACCACCAGGGGGCAGCTCCCGCGTTGAGCAGGATCGGGCTGAAACCAGCTGTCCAACATCCTCTGAGGGGTCATGGATTGCAAGAGGGTGCAGGCCAGGCCAAGGGACTCCACTGGTGCACAACTGGGGCCGGAAAGGGATGCAGGAGGTTGGCCAGCCATGGAAGGACCACGGGAGGGCTCCAGGGCATGTCCGGCCCATCTCGTTCAGTCCTGATCCCCAGAGCCCAGCAGCAAGCTAACCTACAGGTTGGAGCGTCTGCCCCCTGGTGGTCAGTGCATATCATAGCGAGCGGTTGAGTGGCTTTAGCATATCATTAGCATATTACGCTTTGATTGGTTGAATGGACAATGGAACACTTAGCATATTAGGCTTTTATTATATAGGGTAGCCATTCTGACAGGTGTGAGGTGGTATTTCATTGTGGTTTTAATTTGCATTTCTCTAATGATTAGTGATGTTTAACATCTTTTCATATGTCCATTGGTCATCTGTATGTCCTCTTTGGAGAAGTGTACATTCAGGTCCTTTGCCATTTTTAATTGGATCATTTGTTTTTTGGTGTTGAGTTGTGTAAGTTCTTTATAAATTTTGGATATTAAACCCTTATAAGATGTTTCATTGGAAATATGTTCTCCTATTCAGTGGGATAACTTTTCATTTTTTTTGATAGTTTTCTTTGTTGTACAAAAACTTTTTAGCCTGACGTAGTCCCATTTATTTTTTATTTTGTTTTCCTTGCCTGAAGAGATATATCAGAAAAAAATACTGCTATGAGAAATGTCCAAGCTTTTACAGCCTATGTTTTCTTCAAGGATTTGTATAGTTTTGAGTCTCATATTTAAGTTTTTAATCCATTTTGAGTTTAGTCCTGTGTATGGTGTAAGAAGGTGGTATAATTTCATTTTTTTGCATGTATCTGTCCAATTTTCCCAGCACCATTTATTGAAGAGACTGTCTTTATCCCATTGTATATTCTTGCTTCTGTCGAATATAAAGGCATGGGTTTATTTCTGGGCTCTCTATTCTGCTCCATTGACCAATATGTCTACCTAATATCTGGTACCATTTGCCATTAACATCTTGATGTGGCTTCTTTTGTAAATCCTTGGTTATAAAACTTCTAACCAGCTAGTCTTCAGTTGGTTATTCAGGCTGATTGTTCTGTATTTTAGTTGTAATTCCAGTCTGTCCTGGGAGGAGGTGAGTGTAACAGCCACCTAGTCCGCTGCCATCTTGGATCTCTCCGTACCACTATTTATAGCACAGTTTATTTCACAGAGCACAGATCATTATTTCTGATCCTCAGAATAATCCTGTGAGATGGTCAGAGAGGATATTATCTCCACTTGACAGATGAAGAAACTGAGGTGTGTGAATATGTTAGGTCACAGGGTTTTAGAATCTCAGAGCTGAAACTATTATCATATCTCATTAATTTATGTATCATCAAAATCCAGCATTTAGTGAATAGTTAACTGTGGCAAGTGAAATAATATAACTTTTCTGGTTCTTAGGATCTAGTGTTCCTTTTATTAGCAGCTTTACTAATTCTTCAATTTCTAGGATAGGTTTGTAGCTGAGTCAAATAAAATTACTAACCTCAAAGCAACAATGTTACTTAATTGATGCAATTGGGTTATTTAATTGACAGAGCCAGATCTGCTGGGTTAAACATAAACAGAAATTTTTTTTAGCTCACTATCTTTTCACTTAAACACTTAATAGAAGCCTGGCCTCCGTGGGTCAGTGGTTGAGCATCGACCCAGGAACTAGGAGGTCATGGGTTGATTACCTGAGGTCAGGGCATATGCACGGGTTGTGGGCTTGATCCCCAGTGTGGGCGTGCAGGAGGCAGCAGATGGATGATTCTTTTTTTTTTTTAAATATATTTTATTGATTTTTTACAGAGAGGAAGGGAGTGGGATAGAGAGTTAGAAACATCGATGAGAGAAAAACATCAATCAGCTGCCTCCTGCACACCCCCACTGGGTATGTGCCTGCAACCAAGGTACATGCCCTTGACCGGAATCAAACCTGGGACCCTTCAGTCCGCAGACTGACGCTCTATCCACTGAGCCAAACTGGTCAGGGCGGATGATTCTTTCTCGTTGATGTTTCTATCTCTCCCTCTCCCTTCCTCTCTGAAATCAATAAAAAATATTTTTTAAAAAACCCCACTTAATAGGAATATACGTAAAATAACCCTATGGGATAGAATAGTAAGAAAAAAACCTAGACACAAGTATATATTAATGTAATTAGCATAAAGTGAATACTCAAATTTTGTTGAAATTATGACATTGTTTTTAAATAATCAAAAATTGTTTACCTGTGGTGCAAGAAGAGGTAGCCTAATATAAGCCAGGAGTTTACTGAGATCTTTCCGTCTCTGTTCCAAGTCATGACGGACCCAAGTAAGAAGTGCATTCAATATCGTCTCCTCATTAGGAATGTTCATGTCATCACTGGCCAAGAGCTTTGCAATTTCATTGGCTGGTAATAATACAAATTCTTGGTTTCGAATTACTTCCATGAAATGTTCCTAGAGAGAAAATAAGTATCATATAAACAAAACTTTTTTCTTCTTTTTCCTGTGCAATACTGGTTTTATTTGATGCCAAAATAGTTTATAATTTAGACCTTCCTTACAATTTATTACTGCTTGCTAGGAAAGAAACATAGTAGGAAAAAAAAAAACAATTTAAACTACAATCATATTGTTAAACTTTTAATTTCTATATTAAGTAGAATTAAAGTGTTGGATCATTTATTACATTTTAAAAATGGATGTGGGACCTTCAGGTATTGCTTAGTTCAAGTTAGGGAATAATTTTGGCATGTCTTTCAAAGGAAGATAAAAGAATTTAGACATGAGATGTAAGATAGGCTAATATTAAAATTTAGTTTAGAATTGTGGTTGCCATAGAATTTGGCCAACAGTGGAGCCAAATATTGGGTGAGCTGTGAAGCTATTTCTCTTACCCAGAAATGGTTTCCAGGCTGGCTAGATTTCCCTGGGCCGCAGAAGTCTTCTCAGACTGCCTGGGGAAGAGTATGTGTCCTTAGGACTATCCTAAAACCACACCGGCCTTTAAGAGTGTTTTAATGTTATTTATAAGACCACCCAGGACTTTAAGTCTAGTTTGAAAACTTTAATCTCCTCTAATCTGACTTACGTACAAAGTTCTATTGGTCTATAAGAAAAAGCCAAAGTACAAGAATGTACTAGGACTCCGGGACCTTATACTAAAGATGACTCAGCCCTGGCCACATACTAGAATCAGGCTCTTTTTAATTTGAAATGGGCAATAGGAATGCCCTTAGATGTGAAAGAATGACTTTTATTAGGCTATTGTACTAAGCAATCTGAAGAGAAGGGAATTGTACTCTCTGGTATACAAGCTTACAAGTCTTAGCGCATGGATTGATTATATAGTTGTAATTTAAATGCAAATGCTAGACATATGGTCTCTTTATGTTTTTCTTACACTTCCTAACGTGCTATGACTGTCTCAGCACACAGAATTTTAGTAAAATAGCTAAGGCTGTTTAAATTAGAGCTACAGATAAGGACTATCAATAATTATCTCCTAAATTAAAATGAGAATTATATTTTCCATATAGCATGCAATAATCCTAGTTAGGTACTGATCTAAAATATATCTAGGGTTAACATTCTTTTCTATAAAAATTTTTCAGAGGAAAACCATACATGAATAGTTAACTAAATTCAATTGCTTCAATTCATCATGATTTGTTAAAGATGCCACAGTGAATCTATTTTAAATGACTGGTTATCATTTTCAGAAATATATTTTAATAAAACCTCAGTTCTGGAATGGCTTCAAGCAAACTGTTCTGTGCCATTGTATACTGACATTATAAAATGATTTGGTAACATACAGCAAGAACTATAAAAATGTTGAAGTTCTCAACCCAATTATGTCACTAGTAGTTTAATCCTTACTAAATAATTCACGAGAGAAGGAAATTGATGCTTCTCTAATGATGCTTATCTGTATTGTCCTATACTTGAGGCCCGGTGCACGAAATTCGTGCACTGGGGGTGGGATGGGGGTGATCCCTCAGCCTGGCCTGCACTCTCTTGCAGTCTGGGACCCTCAGGGGATGTCCCTTTCACAATCTGGGATCCCTCGCTCCTTACCACCGGCCTGCTCGCTCCTTACCACTCGGCTCACTGCTCCTTAGGGCTGCTGCGGAGGTGGGAGAGGCTCTCGCCACCACTGCTGCGCTTGCCAGCCGTGAGCCTGGCTTCTGGCTGAGTGGCCGCTCCCCCTGTGTGAGCCCACTGACCACTGGGGGCAGCTCCTGCATTGAGCATTTGCCCCTGGTGGTCAGTGCGCATCATACTGACTGGTCGTTCTACCATAATGGTTGCTTAGGCTTTTTATTATTCTATATAATAAAAGGCTAACATGCAAATCGACTGAACAGCAGAACGACCGGTCGATATGATGTGCATTGACCACCAGGGGACAGACGCTCAATGCAGGAGCTGCCCCCTGGTGGTCAGTGTGCTCCCACAGGGGGAGCGGCTGCTCAGTTAGAAGCCAGGCTCACGGCTGGTGAGCACAATGGCCCACCTCCACGGCAGTACTAAGGAGCAGCGAGCTAAGTGGTAAGGAGCAGCGAGCGGTAAGGAGCGAGGGGTCCTGGGCTACGAGAGGGATGTCCAACTACTGGCTTAGGCCCACTCCCTAAGCCATCAGTTGGACATCCCCCAAGGGCTCCCAGACTGCGAGAGGGTACAGGCCGGGCTGAGGGACCCTTCCGAGTGCATGAATTTTGTGCACAGGGCCTCTAGTTATTTATAAAAGTAAAACTTAGCAAATAGTTTAGATGTCCAGCTATAGGGGTTATAACTCAATGGACTATTAAGTAGGCATTAAAAATTTCAAGGACAAAGATCATATAGATATATAAAAAGTTGTTTATTCTAAAATATTAGATGAGATTCTGAAGAAATCAAATACATTTCTAATTGCTCAAAGGTATAGTGTATGGTATAGTCAACATTTATACAACACTGATGTAACTACTGCCATACTTTCACATGGTATTAACCATTTGTACACCATAAGCATCTATGCAAGTGGCTTACCTTTTTTAATTAAATTCAAAATATCGTGGCAGTTAACTGGTTAATTGCATTTCATCAATGATAAAAACCTATTATATAAGTATTATTTTTTTAAAAAATCTTTAAATATATTTTTTATTTATTGGTTTCAAAGAGGAAGGGGGAGGGAGAGAGAGATAGAAACATCAATGATGAGAGAGAATCATTGATCGGCTGACTCCTGCATGCCCCACATTGGGGATCAAGCTCGCAACCCAGGCATGTGCCTTGACCAGGAATAGAACCATGACCTCCTGGTTCATAAGTCGATGCTCAACCACAGAGGCACACCAGCTGGGCTAAATATTCTTTTCTTTAAAAAAAAATGTTTTTATTGATTTTAGAGAGGAAGGGAGAGGGAGAGTGAGATAGAAACATCGATGAGAGAGAAACATCATCGATCGTGGCTGCCTCCTACACACCTCATACTGGGGATTGAGCCTGCAATCCAGGCATGTGCCCTTGACTGGAATTGAACCCGGGACCTTTCAGTCCACCGGCCAATGCTCTACCCACTGAGCCAAACCAGCTAGGGATAAATATTCTTTTGATTATTTGTTGATATATTTCAGAACATGTCCATTCCATTTTAGTATAACTTGTACTTAGCGAAAATTTAATTTTTAAAAACTTATAGAAATACTATTAAACAAAGTACTTTTCAAAAGTATTTGGTTTTGAAGCAGGTATTTTAGCAGAATTCCATGGTTTTATAGGTTTTCTAGATCACAAAACAAAATTTTAAGTTTTAAAATGAAATGCTTATATTTATTTTATAAATCCATAATGACATTAGAATTTTGTAATGACATAACCAGTCTTATACTTTTTTTGTAGAGGTTTAATGACTTGTTCCGGGTCAAGTGCAGTGGCAGTCAGAACAAGAACAAAAGTTTCCAGATTTTAGGGTTACAGGAAGGAACTCCTCATCCTTCCCTACTTGTATTCATTCAGGATCAGGGAACATCCAAAGTACATGCACCATTTATTGACTGTGCCAACTGAATTCACAATGTGGCATTACACTTCCTTCATATTTTGAATCCATTTTATGATACAAACAGCTATCATACTACCTAACACTTGCTAGCATTATGCGCCTTTCCCCTTTGGGATAGTTTTTAAGTAAATGAAATTACTGAGGGATTTATTTAAATTAAAGATTGAATTTTGTTATACACTTTCATTCAGTTCCCATAGCAACAATTCAAATCACACAATCTGCCTCTAAATTACTTATTGTTATTAGAATTCAATTTCATGTCTCTGTTGCAACTGAATAATGTCAAATAATGGCTTGAAAGGAAAAAAAAAAAACCCTACCCCAACTTCTTGGCTATGAGAAGAGCTTTAAGAACATTGAGCTAATTTGAATTTAATTTATGTCTAAGTCTTAAAAAAGCAGCAATTGTGCCTCTACTGTAAACAACAGGAGTGACCTAAATATTTCTTGTGAATAAAACTCCTTCCTAGGAAAGACATCTTACTTAAATTATGACTTGATTATAAAGGTTTAAAAATCCAGCTTTATTTTATTTATATTCATGTTATTCCAAAAAGTATTTGACCTTGAAATGAGAACTATGCAAGGTTAAAATGAGAACTCTACAAGGAAGAATAAAGATGGAAGGGGGTTAAATCTTCTGAAAGGACTTATTTTAAGATGTTAACCTAACACCATGCTAGGTCTGTATAGTATTGCCCTGTTGCACAATCTCTTATTTTTTCACTTGAAGCACTTTGACCATTATAAACAAGAACATTTCTGAAAAGTAATTATACCACAGGGAGAAAAACGAATCACAAAGGTTGTGCTTTTGTATGAGTGCTTTTTGTCCACTCACATAAATCCCTTCCGTGTTGAAGAGTAAATCTATATAATGTGGCGACAATTATGATGACGTCATTTATTGACTGGGTATACTCTGTGTCAATCACCATTTTAAGTGCTAAACTTCTAGTAACTCATTTAATCCTCACATTAAGCTTATGAAGTAGATAGAATTAATCTTCCTGATAGTTGTAAATATTCGGTCTTATAATTTTTCCAGATCTCTATTTTTCTAGTGAATGATTCCTAAAGTACTTGTCAATCGCCTGACAAAACAACTCAACAGAAGGATGGGGGGTGAGGGACAGTGTAGAGAAAAACATTTAAAGGTTGAAAAAATTAGTAATATGGATAACTGTATTTGTTATGTAAATGCTCACATTTTCTCTTCCCTTAGAAGCTGTATTGCCTTAAATGAAGCACTTAAAGCCAGAGTCTTCAATCATTGCACAAGAGTAAAGACCCAAGTGTGGACAGATGGCCATTCCTTAAAAATCCACAACCCTCCCTTCCCTAAATCCCTCTACAATGAAGACCAGGGAGTTGTTGGTCCTAACAATATGCCCTCAACATGCCCTTATTTTCTTGCTGTCCTAAATTAAGCTGTACTCATTATCCTCTAGGCCAGGGGTCCTCAAACTACAGCCCGCAGGCGAGACGCAAATACAAATATTTTATTTGTTCCCGTTTTGTTTTTTTACTTCAAAATAAGATATGTGCAGTGTGCATAGGAATTTTTTCATAGTTTTTTTTTAAAACTATAGTCCGGCCCTCCAATGGTCTGAGGGACAGTGAACTGGCCCCCTGTTTAAAAAGTTTGAGGACCCCTGCTCCAGGCTTCTGAATCAGATTTTGAGCATATAATTTGATACAATTAATAACAACATATTTCTATATAACTAAGAACACTTCTTACTTATAATGAGGTTGATCCATGATAAAAAACCTCCCCTTCAGTCTCCTATATTCTGTACTAGGACTGCACCAATGCACTATCATCACTATCACCAACTTCCATCAGTGAATATGTAGACAATTGTGAAATTCATGCAAGTAAAATGTTTGCTGGAAATGTTGCTTTAAAAACAACAGATGTGAAAATCTTGATTGGAACAGTCCTAGGCCACTGTTCTGCTTTTTAGTGACTGTGAAAACTTAAGGCTTGACTCATGTATCCAGGAGAAATATTCCTTGGTGTTTTTCCTTATAACCCAATGAAAATATAACAGATTAGACAGTGAACCTGAGCCTGAAAACATGTGGCAGAGCCATGGGAAAACAGCAACATGTAGCTAAGCCTGCAACAATAAAGAATAAGACAAAGAGCATATGCTTTCCTGCTTTTCAAAAAAACACATACCATAGTATAATTGTGAGCCACTTTATGCAAATCTGTACAACCTTGGGCATCAGCAAAAGAACGGATTCCAAGACAGTTGGATGGGTGAAGCTGTTTCATTAAAAACTTACAGCATGCTTCCACAACCTGTGAAAGCTGAAGAAGGCAAGCTGTAGATAACAGGCACTCAATATTATCTTCTTTTAATTCAAGGCGACCTTAATGATAAAGAGAAATTCCATTAACTACGGAATTATATTAACTTCAGTTTATAAACTAATTGGTGTTAAGAATAATAATTCTAAATAAGAACTCATTACATGCATTTCAGACCTAGATGATTTAAGACATTCAGAAAGAAAAAAAGAGTGCTAACTATAAAATAATTTTTGCCCTTTGTGACTTCTGCTAAAATAAACAAATAGTAACTCATTTTTAAGACTTTTAAAAGGATGATTTAATTAGTAACATATCTATTATATAACTCAAATTTTAAATGCAATATTCTAAACATACAGAATTGATCTAATTATTATATTAACACCATAAAATGAATGATAAAAATATCATTCAAAAGCTTAATTATGATAACCGCTTTAAAGGTTCTATATACAGGTTTTAACTTAAACAGGTATCACCAAGGGTGGTGATTATAATAGAAGAATTAACTGTTAGCTGTGGCTAAAAGCAGAAATCTGAAGTCTAATAAGATAACATAAATCTAAGAGGTTTTAAATTTATATTACCTGTATATGCATACTGAATCAGGGACCATAGTGAATTCGGTTCTACACCTTCCATTTTTATTTCTTCTTGTCTTGCTTCCCTGACATCATTAGTAAACATGGCAGCAAAATAATCTGAGACAGAGGAGAGCACCAATCTGAGGACATATTAGAAGAAAAAAAATCAATGATCATATTAAAGTTGATGCTCATTAATAAATGCTATTTCTACACAGTTCTATATTTGTAAAATAATTTATGTTGTGAACTGAGACAAATATTTTTTCCCCAAGAAAGTACACTGCATGCTGAGAATCACATGAAATAAACTCTAAGTGGGATGAAAATAAATAAATACTACCTCTCTCTCTCTCTCTCTCACTTTGTTACCCATAGAAATTGCATGGTACTGGGGAATGCATTTTATTTGCTTTATGCTCAGTTCCCTAGTTCCTTCCTTTGAATAATAAATTATCATTACTGAAAATTTTCTGCTGAGGTAATGATTTACTCTTTCACTCCTTAAATATTGATTTATAACATCTAGAAAAAAAAAGCTACAAGGCCACAGCATTAAATTGACTATATATTAAAAAGGGGATGAAATATAAAGGTTGATTTCTGTTTATCACCTGTTTTTTTATTTAATCATACTAGTAGTGAATATATGGAAGACATTTGAGAATGGTTTTAGCAAGTTATTTTTAACTTTCATGATATTTTAAATTATTATGATATTGTTATAAAGTTATAATATTTTTGTTTCAACACTACAAACTATAATATTTTGTCATAATAATAATTATTCTACATTAGCTATGCCTCTGTCCAGACTTTTCAATAGTCACATATAAGCAAAATGGGATATATATATATTTTATATATACACACACACAAACACACTAGAGGCCCGGTGCAGGAATTTCTGCACAGGTGGGGTCCCTCGGCCTGGCTGGTGATGGGGGCTTGTCTTGCCCAATCCCGATCGGGGCTGATGGGGACTGGCCGGGGAGGGGCTGCGGGAGGGCTCCAGGGCGTCCAGCCCTCTTGCTCTGTCCCGATCGGCCGGATCCCAGCAGCAAGCTAACCCACTGGTTGGAGCGTCTGCCCCCTGGTGGTCAGTGCGCATAATATCTGACAGTATTCTTGGACCTTATTAAATTATTATACAATTCTGGTCAAGCAATTAGACACTTAGCATATTATGCTTTTACTAGAGGCCTGGTGCATGAATTCGTGCACAGAAGGGTCCCTAGGCCTGGCCAGCTGGGGCCTTCCTTTGTTCCGTGCCGCCCCCTGGTGGTCAGCGTATGTCATAGTGAGTGATCAAACTCCCGAGGGGACACTTTTCATATTAGTCTTTTATATATATAGATTATATAGGATTTTAAACATGCATTTTCATTTGATAATATGTTTTGAAGATATTTCCATATCAGTACATTTATATAGATTTACTTTATTCATTTTTTTAAAAAAACACAGAGATTATGATACAATAATAGTTGAAACTGCCTTGGTGTTTCTAATTCCATTCTCCTCCCTTCCCAAGAGTGGGTTGCTGAGTCTTAATGTTTGCCAAATTGCTCTAGAAAGTGCTGTGCCAATGTAGACCCCTACCAGAATTGTATAATAATTTAATAAGGTCCAAGAATACTGTCAGAGATTTAAAAATTTTGGCTATCTGTAAGGTATTAAATGGTATCTCATTGTTGTTTAATTCACCTGATTGCTAGTGAGGTTGAAGATCTTTTTAACTGTTTATTGGCCATTCGGTTTTCTTCTTTTGAGAACTGCTTATTCATTCATTTATCCCCCAAACAAATGCTTATGCATGCCTAGTAAGTAATGGGCACTATCTAGATACTTGAAATATTACCAGTGCAAAAAATAGAGAAGAGATGCCTTCTCCCACCGAGTCTTACATTCTAGAGAGAAGGGAGACAAACTGATAAACAGCAGAAATAAACTCTATAGTACATTTAAAAGTGCTAAGTGCCCTGGGGGAAAAAGTCAGGTAAAGGAATATGGGGAGTGGGAGGTGGGTTAAAATAGATGGTCTCATTGGAAAGAGACAATTGGGCAAATAATTGAAGGAGATGCAGGAATTAGTCATTCAGGGATCTGGGAGGAGCATTCGGGCAGAAGAGCAGCCAATGCAAAAATCCAAAAGCCAGAGCAGCATGCATGGCACATACAAGGAACAATAAGGGGGTCCATGTGGCTCGGAGTGAGCAAGGAGAGCACTAGGACAGAACATCACAGAGGTAATGCCAGGCTGGATCACACAGCCGCTGTGAGCACACTCAGTGACATGAGGAGCCACTGAAAAGTTTGATCAGAGGAATGATGGAATCTGAGTTCTATTTTTAAAGGATCACTCGAGTAGCTGTGTAGAAAACAGAATGTAGGGGAAAGGAATCAAAGGAAGGAGACTGGTTAGGAGTTTCCTGCCTTGGTAACCTAGTGACATGGTGATGGCTTACATAATATGCATGACAGGTAAGGTAATGAGTTCTGCTTTGGAAATACAGAATTTTAGATGCCTTTATAAAATTCAAGTTAAAATATGCTAATAAACTGATACCTATAATGTGGACTTTTTGTCACCATATGTAGTAGCATCTCATGCTAATTAAGTCACTGAAAACTATAAAACCAAGGCCATTCTTCCTGATTTTACTTCCACTTTGAAGAGTTTAACAAAACTTTTGGGACAGAGTGTTAATTAATTTTGAAAGGCATAAAAAAGCCTTTGGGATCATAATAGTGATTAACACTGAATAATGAGATATGGAATTATCAGAAGAAAAATGAGTTGTTTTTTTATTAAATAGCTCTTTTTTCTTTTTCTTATGTCAAGAAATAATACTTCATTTCTGTTAAAACCTTTTGTTCCCTAGCACCAATGATTTTCATATTTCTTGGCGATTAGCAAACAAAAGTTGGGATAACTGCAGTTATTTAAAAATTCTTAACAGTTTTTTCCATTCTATTTGATCAGCTTTTTTTGCTTCTGAATACCCACAGGTCTAATTCCCATTGAATTTACTTAAAGTTATTTAATACATAGAATTAGGTAGGGTGAAAGCTGCTTATAATAACTGAAATCTATGCCAAACAATACTGACTGATCTGAGGCTACTGTGTTTTGTTTTTGTGCTTCTACAGAGGGAAAGTGACCCTTTGGGGTCATTTGATGTATAATAATTTCATATGCACAGAAATTCCATGAAATAAACCCCTTCCCCCAAACATTCTATCCTAACAGTCAACTGGAATTAGTTACCACAACATGATACTGTTATAATAACTTGGTTATTAAATAACAGGAAAGGAATTAAGGGAAGATAAATAATAAAGGCATGCCATTTATATAACCTTGCTAGGAAGCTACAATTAACATTCTCCAAGTCTGTTCCCCACAGATCGCTGGGGGAAGGGACTGGACAATAGATGCTTGCCCAGTAAGGTCTGGGTGCTGTGGGAGATGTTTACCTGTCAGTCACACCTGGGAACAAGTCAGTGGCCAGAATAGGTGCGGCCACTGCAAGGGTGTGAAACCTGAATATTTAAACTCCGGGACAAAGGAACCTCCCTCTTGCCTCTCTCTCCTGCTGCTCTGGGCTGATTCCTGTTGCAGGGCGCCCAGGTCCTCTGCATTTGACAACATGGCCCAGAGCCACGTGGGCTCCGTAAATCTATAATGGATTAATAGACTTTAACTTGCCTGATGTTACCTGACCCAGCTCCACCATGGAATGGACACTCTGGACACTGGCCCTGCTTTTGGCTCTGCTGGAGCCCCAGCTGCACCTTTTTCAGGACAGGGTTAAGGGGCAGGGGACTTTGCAACCCGAGAAATATAATTCCATGCCAATAAAAACCATTCATTCTCCTGTGGGGGCCTATGGAAATGCTTGTTCCAGTGGTACCCCAAGAACCCCACTAGTGTCAGGGAAACTGAACCCACTGATTTCTCCTGCAACAAACATACATAACTAAATCATCAAGAAAATTTTCACACACACAGAAATTTAAGAAACAGTTACCTATGAGCTGGAATTCTGCGATCACCAGCAACTAGAATTACATCACATAACTGTTTATGTCTCAAATAGTTTTCCATCTTTTTAAATGTTTGCTCAGCATGATTAAGGGCTTGGAAAAATTCATCTGATGAACATGGCTCCATAGTATGGCAGGATGATAATGTCTGACTACTATTAGAAGTCCTGAAAAGAAAGAGAACACACATTTTGAAATATCACTATTACATTAAAAAGATGTTTTCTAGCGAGTCCCTTTAAAACCTTCAAATGTAATAGAAGTAATTGATGCTACCAGTCAATATTAATGTATAATCATTCATTTTTGTCTTTTAAAATCATATGTGTGTCTTTTAAGCATTGTGAGTGAATGTGACATCTGTTAGTTAACAGCTACACATATTCTTTGTAGTGTCTGTTTTTGAGGTCTCTTCTCTGGTCAACACAGCATCTCTGTTGAAAAAACACACAAGTGTTTTCATATTAATAGACATTCCTCCTAACATTATATGTAGGTGTAAGAGATCATTTTTTAAAGTAAGGAAGGCAAATATAAATTCAAGTCATTCTTTACTTAAAAAATGGGTTATGTTCAATAGCTCATTTATAAGATGTGTAAAATATGAACTTATCATAAAAAACCATGCTATAAATAATTTATTTGATTCTCTGTTCAGTCTTCAAAAGTTCAGATAAATTATAACTTATATTGCAGGTTAAAGGACTTTGATGGCCTAACTAAAAAATTATTTGAAATTTCCAAATTATAATTTGAAGAGTATGAGTTCTGTTTTCATATGATTTCTTGATGGCAAAAATTAAAATGACTAGGATTAAGAATCTATCCTATCTAATAATAGAGAAACATGGTAATTAACCATAACTTCGCTACCCTTCCCATTGGCTAATCAGCAGGATATGCAAATTAACTGCCAACAAAGATGGTGGCTGGCAGCCACGCAGCTGAAGCGAACATGAGGCTTGCTTGCTCCAGTGATGGAGGAAGCCAAGGTTCC